GTGGCATATGCTAATGAGTTATGCTAATGAGTTCCCCTAGCTCTTTTTCTACGAAACGACCCCTGCTTCTTAGTATTAAATGTGTAACTATAACCTTTTCATAGTTTCAGAGGTTGGTCTGGAGAAGAACAGCTAGATCCAAGTCCAGTAGCACCTGAGAGACCAACAAAATTTCCCAGAGTAAAGTTTGAGTCCGGGAGCCCCTTTAAGACCGACACGGTCTTATTCAAGGTATGAGGTTTCGTGTGCAAGGCACGCTTCTTCGGGTTTTCAGAGGTGAGCTTCCAATCTGACAAAGGGAGGTCTGATGCTAGAAAGCTCGTACACCCCCCCCCCGAAAAAAAATATTTTTTTCATTATTTCCCGCAAAAAGGTAAATTGCAACAATTACAGCTGCAGCCTCATTGTCTTTGCCTGTATCTAAAGAAATACGCATCTGCTCAAAAGCTTATAGGTAAATGTAAAGGTCTCCCCCTTGCTCGAAAGCCAGTCGACTCCGACTCTAGGGATGCGGTGTTCATCTCTGTTTCCAAGCCGAAGACCCAGCACTGTCCGAAGATGTTTCCGTGGTCATGTGGCCGGCGTGACTAGACACCGAGGCGCATGGAACGCTGTTCCCTTCCCACCGAAGTGGTACCTAATAATCTACTTGCAATATCTTGCTTTCGAACTACTAGGACCAGAGACGAGAGCTCACTCCGTCATGCGGCACTCGGGTATCGAACTACTGACCTTCTGGTCTGCAGTTCAGCGTCTTAACCACTTGAGCCACCACAGCCCCTACGAAAGCTTACACACACACACACACATATATATTATATGTATATAATTCTAAAGAGCCTCCTGCTCAGAGTAAAAGAGGAGAGCGCAAAACTGGGCTTGAAGCTCAACATCAAAAAAACTAAGATCATGGCATCCGGCCCCATCACTCCTTGGCAAACAGAAGGGGAAGTCGTGGAAGTAGTGACAGACTTCACGTTCCTGGGATCCCAGATCACCGCAGACTGTGACAGCAGCCATGAAATTAAAAGACGCCTGCTCCTTGGGAGGAAAGCGATGGCGAACCTAAACAGCATGATAAAGTAGAGACATCTCCCTGCCCACAAAAGTCCGCATGGTCAAAGCAATGGTATTCCCAGTAGTCATGTATGGCTGCAAGAGTTGGACTATAAGGAAGGCCGAGCGCCGAAGAATAGATTCTTTTGAACTATGGTGCTGGAGAAGACTCTTGAGAGTCCCTTGGACTGCAAGATCAAATCAGTCAATCCTAAAAGATTGTTCCCTGGAAGGCTAGATAATGAAACTGAAGCTCAAATACTTTGGCCACCAAATGAGAAGGGAGCACTCCCTGGAGAAGACCCTGATGCTGGGAAAGATTGAAGGTCAAAGAAGACGGGGACGGCAAAGGATGAGATGGTTGGACAGTGTCAGTGACGCAACGAACATGAAATTGAGCCAACTTTAGAGGACAGCGGAAGACAGGAGGGCCTGGCGGGAGCTGGTCCATGGGGTCGCGAAGAGTCGGACTCGACTGTGCGACTGGACAACAACAACAATTCTGGGTAACGAAAGCTTATACCCAGAATTAAACTCCATTGGTCTTAAAGGTGCCAGTGGAATCACACTTCATTCTTTGTCTTTGCCTAAGACTTAACTTGGAGCTGCGGTGGCTCAAGTGGTTAAGACGCTGAACTGCAGGCTGTGGAAGATCGGTAGTTCAGCAGTTCGAGACCCAGGTTGCCGCATGACGGAGTGAGCTCCCGTCTCTAGTTCCAGCTCCTGCCAACCTAGCAGTTCGAAAGCAAGAAATTGCAAGTAGATAAATAGGTACTGCTTCGGTGGGAAGGGAACAGCATTCCATGCACCTTGGTGTTTAGTTATGCCGGCCACATGACCACGGAAACGTCTTTGGACAGCGCTGGCTCTTCGGCTTTGAAACGGAGATGAGCACCACAACCCTAGAGTCTGATTCGACTGGCTTTCGAGCAAGGGAAACCTTTACCTTTTTTAAAGACTTAACTATACAGACATTACAGTGGGGGAATGCGACCACTCACCCTCTACCTAACTTCTGTAACCCCATAACCAGACTCTTAATCTGTATTTCAAACTCACACTTTTCCAAATACATAAACCCATCAAACAAACTTCAATCTCTGTGGTACGTCCTGGTAACCTTTATGATCGTTCTGGCACGATGTAACGCTTCCCAAGATTGTGCACATCTGTCTGCACAAAGAGATGTTATCCCTTGTCCAGATGTACCACATTCTGTTGAGCCACAGTCCCAGAGATGGTATCGCCTGATCCTTCCAACTCTGTGCCAATGTCATTCTCGCTTCAATACCCAACTGAAGTAATAGGTATTGAGACAAGGTCATGCTAAGAGGACAGTCAGTCAATAAATCAATCTTTGGTGAACAGTTGAAAACGCATTACAAAACCATTTCGATTTCGTTGTGCGCACTATTCCAGTACCTCTTAATTGCTACCCTAAATAATCTGGTAGGTCTTGAATCTAGATGTAGAACCTTTTGAATCACCACAGTGCTTCTGAGCTTGATGGGTCATCTCCACCACTACTGAACTGTAGCCGGCCCTGGGGTATCCAGTAGGGATATACGGGGGGGGGGATTCGGTATTTTTCAGATTCAGGGTTTTTGGACCCTTATAAATTCGGTTTTGCCTTGAAAACCCGAATCCCAATATCAGTATTGTATTGGGATTCAGGTAAAATTCGGGGATCCCGAAATTTCGGCTCCATTATACCCTATGGGGCCATTGTAGTCGATGGCAAATCTCCTAGGGTATATTCAGTGGGCTGAGGGGAGGGGGTTTGAGGTAGAGGCACCAAATTTGCAGTGCAGCTGCTGGAGCCTCTTCCCAAAAGAACCCCCAAGTTTCAAAAAAGATTGGACCAGGGGATCCAATTCTATGGGCACCCAAAGAGGGTGCCCCCATCCTCCATCTTTTCCAATGTTGAGAATAAAGCAAAACAGGCATACTACAAGCCCAGCAGATTCTCCCACAGACCAGCTGAGCTCTGAGCAGGAGCAGGAGAGAGAGCTGTGAGAGAGGTGAGTGGGTTTCTTTTACTTGCTTTCAGCTGAGAGAATTCAGCTAAGGATATTTTGTGGGAAAACTGTGTTTAGCAGTGTGTGGAAGCACTTAGAGTTCTTGCAGAGTCCTGGCTGATTGAGTGTGGGAGAGGAACGGGCATTGTTTGACTGGGATTGCCTGTAATTGAGAGGAAGTGGAAGGGGCATTGTTTTGCCTGTGATTGAGTGCCTGGGTGAATTTGAATTTGAATAGCTGCTGCCTGACCTCTGCTGGGGGAGGCCTCTATTTAAGGAAGCACCTTGGCAGAGGCACGAGCCTCTGGCACGAGCCGAAGGGTGAGCTAAAGGGCTCTTTGCCTGTGGCTCTTAGCCTAGGGACTCTTAGACTAGGGGCGCTGTAAGAAGCCCAAAAAGAGCCAGAAAGACAAGGCCCTAGGCTCTTTGTCTTTCCCGTAAAATAATTTGACTTGATAACAAAACCCACATAAATACCAAGGGTTTAAAAGGGGGATTATATTTATTTATTTTAAAAGAATTATGAAGCCAGAATGCCAGCAGGGGGTTGGGGGCTATCCAGTGTTTTGCACGGAGTGTCACATGTATGACTATCTGCCCACTGGGCAGAAGTCTTGGGTGTGTCCTCGGTGCAAGGAGCTCCTGGTTCTCAGGGAACGTGTGTGCTCCCTTGAGGCCAAGGTGGCTGACCTGGAGAAGCAGAGACAGTCAGCTAGGCACACAGAAAAGACTCTCGGGGACTTGTTAGCTTCGTCCCACTCTGGATCTGGCAGCCCCGCTGCTGTCAGGGAGCATGAGGGTCTAGGGGAAACAGGGCACCATGCTGAGGATAAGGGGAATGTGCCCTCAGAAGGGACCTCTTCCCCAGCTGGTGAGCGGCTCTCCTTTTGCACCAAGGAACCATCCCTGAGCAGGGTGGGAGGGGGGCTCTTGGTAGTGGGTGATTCGATCCTTAGGCAGGTAGACAGCTGGGTGGCGAACCCGCGTACTGACCGTATGGTGACTTGCCTGCCTGGTGCGAAGGTAGCGGACATTACGCGTGTTTTAGATAGGCTGGTAGATAGTGCTGGGGAGGAGCCAGTGGTCGTGGTGCATGTCGGCACCAACGATGTGGGGAAATGCAGTCGTGAGGTCCTGGAGGAGAAATTTAGGCTGCTGGGCAGGAAACTTAGGTCCAGGACCTCCAAGGTAGCCTTCTCAGAAGTGTTACCTGTTCCACGCGCAGGGCCGGAGAGACAGGCAGAGATCAGGAGTCTCAATGCGTGGATGAGACGATGGTGTAGGGGGGAAGGGTTCAGGTTTGTTAGGCACTGGGATACTTTTTGGAACAAGAGGGAGCTGTACAGGCGAGACGGTCTCCACTTGTCCCGAGAAGGAACCAGGCTGCTGGCACTTAAAATCAAAAAGGTGGCAGAGCAGCTTTTAAACTGAATATTGGGGGAAAGCCGACAGGAGATGAAAAGTCTCTGGTTCGGGTTGGCTCATCTGAGAGAGGTGAGGGGGTACCGGTTGCTTTTCTACAGGGAGGTGGATTGAAATTGTCCACAGAGGCCATGGCTGGTGACATGGACTGCCGGACAACGACTCGAGATAGCAAGAGGAAGGATGCAGGCTTAACTTGTAAGGGAAATTACAGCTGTTTCTATACAAATGCTAGAAGTGTCCGAGGTAAAATCGGGGAGTTGGAGTGCTTGGTGTCGGAGGGAAAAATAGACATTGTGGGTATTTCTGAAACTTGGTGGGATGAGGAAAATCAGTGGGACACAGTGATTCCCGGTTATATATTATATCGGAAGGATAGGGGGGGAAGGGTTGGAGGTGGGGTAGCTCTGTATGTCAGAGAGGGTATAAAGTCTAGAAAGATTGAGAGGCTAAGTGAATTGGATTCGCTTCTGGAAGTTCTATGGGTTGAAATAGGGGGGCCAAAAGGAAACTTAACACTGGGAGTTTGTTATCGCCCACCAGATCAAAAGATAGAGGAGGATTATAAAATGATGAATGCCTTAAAGATAGCAACTAGACAAAAACACTGTGTAATAATAGGTGATTTTAACTACCCACACATTGATTGGGTCAATATGTGTTCTAGTCGGGAAAAAGAGATTGAGTTTCTAGACACTCTAAATGACTGTGCTATGGAGCAGATGGTCACGGAACCTACCAGGGGAGAGGCGATCCTTGATTTGGTCCTAAGTAACACTCAAGACCTGGTGAGAGATGTAAAAGTGATTGCACCGCTTGGAAACAGTGATCATAATGTTGTTGAGTTCATCATTTGTACAAATAGAGAATTGGCCAAAAAGACTCACACAACCATTTTTAACTTTAAAAGGGGTAATTTCTCTGATATGAGGGGACACGTGGGGAGGAAACTGAAAGGAAAAGTAGAAAGGGTCAAAACAATTGGGGAAGCTTGGGATCTATTTAAAACTACGATCCTAGAAGCTCAAAAAATATATATTCCGCAGGTTAGGAAAGGCACAAACAGGTATAGGAAAAAGCCTGCATGGTTAACAAACAGAGTAATGGAGGCTGTAAAAAGTAAAAAGAATTCCTTTAAGCAGTGGAAAGCTAGTCACAGTGAGGCTGATAAAACGGAACACAGGCTATGGCAAATAAAATGCAAGTCTGAGGTCAGGCAGGCAAAAAGGGAATATGAGGAGCATATAGCAAAAAACGTAAAAACCAACAATAAAACTTTCTTCAAATACATTAGAAACAGGAAACCAGCCAGGGAGGCAGTGGGGCCCTTGGACGACCAAGGGGTAAAAGGAGTATTGAAGGATGATAGGGAAATGGCTGAGAAGCTAAATGCATTTTTTGCCTCCGTCTTCACTGTGGAAGATGAGAAGTGCTTGCCCACTCCAGAACCACTGATTTCAGGAGGGGTGTTGGAAGACCTGAGTCAGATTGAGGTGATGAGAGAGGAGGTCCTAAAACTGATAGACAACTTAAAAACTGAAAAATCACCAGGCCCAGATGGCATACATCCGAGAGTTCTGAAAGAACTCAAATGTGAACTTGTAGATCTCCTGACAAAGATATGTAATCTTTCCTTAAAATCTGCCTCCATTCCTGAGGATTGGAAGGTAGCTAATGTCACTCCCATCTTTAAAAAGGGTTCCAGAGGAGATCCGGGAAATTACAGGCCAGTCAGTCTGACGTCGATACCGGGTAAATTGGTGGAAACCATTATTAAGGAAAGAATTAGTAGGCACATAGATGAACAAAACCTATTGAGGCAGACTCAGCACGGTTTCTGTAAGGGAAGATCTTGTCTCACTAACCTGTTAGTGTTCTTTGAGGGGGTGAACAAACATGTGGACAAGGGGGATCCAATAGATATTATTTACCTTGACTTCCAGAAAGCTTTTGATAAAGTTCCTCATCAAAGGCTCCTAAGTAAGCTCAAAAATCATGGGATAGAAGGACAAGTCCTTTTATGGATCAAAAACTGGCTAGTTCATAGAAAACAGAGAGTGAGTGTAGGTGGGCAATTTTCTCAGTGGAGGGTGGTAAGCAGTGGGGTACCGCAGGGATCAGTACTTGGTCCACTGCTTTTTAACTTGTTCATTAATGATTTGGAGATGGGAGTAAGCAGTGAAGTGGCTAAATTTGCGGATGATACAAAGTTGTTCAGGGTGGTGAAAACCAGTGAGGATTGTGAGGCACTCCAAGGGGATCTGTCAAGGATGGGCGAGTGGGCGTCAACATGGCAAATGGGGTTCAATGTGGCCAAGTGCAAGGTGATGCACATTGGAGCCAAAAATCCTAAATATAAATACACATTGATGGGGTCTGAACTGGCAGAGACTGAGCAAGAGAGAGATCTTGGAGTTGTAGTGGATAACTCACTGAAAATGTCGAGACAGTGTGTGACTGCAATAAAGAAGGCCAATGCTATGCTGGGGATTATTAGGAAGGGTATTGAAAACAGATCAGCCAATATAATAATGCCCCTATATAAATCAATGGTGAGACCTCATTTGGAATACTGTGTGCAGTTCTGGGCACCACACCTTAAAAAGGATATTATAGCTTTGGAAAAAGTGCAGAAAAGGGCAACTCGAATGATAAAAGGGTTGGAACACTTTCCCTATGAGGAAAGGTTAAAGCGCTTAGGGCTCTTTAGCTTGGAGAAAAGACGACTGAGGGGTGACATGATCGAGGTTTATAAGATTATGCATGGGAAAGAGCAGGTAGAGAAAGAGGTACTTTTCTCCCTTTCTCACAATACAAGAACTCGTGGGCACTCCATGAAACTGCAGAGCGGTCGGGTTAGAACGGATAAAAGGAAGTACTTCTTCACCCAAAGAGTGATTAACACATGGAATTCACTGCCACAGGAAGTGGTGGGTGCTACAAGCATGGACGGCTTCAAAAGGGAATTAGATAAGCATATGGAGCAGAGGTCCATCAGTGGCTATTAGCCACAAGGTATAGCTAGGGGCTCTGGGGCAAGTGATGCTCTGTCTTCTTGGTGCTTGGGGGGGGGTCAACAGTGGGAGGGCTTCTAATGTCCTGGCCCCACTGCTGGACCTCCTGATGGCACTGGTATTTCTGGCCACTGTGTGACACAGAGTGTTGGACTGGATGGGCCTTTGGCCTGATCCAACATTGGCGTCTCTTATGTTCTTATGTTCTTAATCTCTGCAGCAGAAAGTGAAGTGCGGGGAGGGGACACGTTTGCAAGGCCATCAGCAGAACCAGTGCAAATGTGCCCAGCAGAACCAGTGCCACTCTAGCAGTGAAAAAAACTAACAGATCTGACCTTAGTCCTGTTGGGGTTTTGCACCCTGGAGGTCCCTTCCAACTCTATGATTCTGGGAATCAGGAACTGGGATTCGGAATACCGCTGCACTCCCAAGATAAACTTTGGCTCTGCCTGCATCGTAGGCCAGGTGAAGGACTCACACGAGACACGATCTCTTGAGGGTAGAAGAATCTGTCTGCCCCAAGGCAGCAAGAGACTTTATTTTATACACACTCTGCCCCCCCCCCACCGTGAGGTGAGGCTGTACATAAAGAAACAAGGGAAAAATAGATACTTAAGCAGAATGTCTAGAAAGCTAGCATAATAATTAACAAGCTACCCCTGGCTTTAAGATGCTCGCAGTTACAGGATGTGCAAAGGTCTAGACTCTTTTAGTGTACCCGAATCACTGATCAACCCTATGTTGACAGAGTCTGGCTGTGGCGAGAACCAGGACTGGTGTGCCGTATCGCTGATCCTCATCCACAGCCAGGTTCCTCCACGCCCAGCCGTGTGCAGCACAGTGTGTGAGACCCAGTGCCTACGGACAGGGGCTTTCCGGATTCTTCATTCATGGTGGCAGCAGGACCACCTGTCTCCATGGACCAGCTGAGGGCATTAGCCCTCCTACGGGGCTCTGCTTCTCTTTATAAAAAAAAGTCAGAGGTCAAAGAAGTCGACAGCTTTTGAAGACAGCTTTTATTGAGACGAGGCCATACATCTGAGGGAAACGTAACTGGGAAACGGCCACGGCTGCCTGCATAGCAGGACCCAGGAGAGGCCATCGACACCCACGCAGGCCGAAGGGGTCCAGGCCTGGCCGAGAGCGAAACACTTGAGTCGTGTTCGCCGTCCCCCTTCTTTCCTTACCCCCTTTGGGAGCAGCACTTTGAAGCAGGGCAGCTTCGCCCTTCTGCGTCTTCCCCGTCTCCGCGGAGGCCTCTAGCCAGGCTGGAGAGAGGCGGCGCCCTGCTGTCACCCAGCCGCACGGGAACTGAGGGGGGCGCACAGGAGGCAGAGGAGCACAAAACGGGTCGGGTCATTCCGGCACGTAGAGGTTGCTGGCGGAGCTGGGGTTGTCGGCAGGCCGCGTCTCCAACACGACGGTGCTGGCGGAGGGAAGAGAAGCGCCATCGGCGGGGGTAAGCGGAAGAGCAAGGGCAGGCACAGCACCCTCTGCGGCCTGTGAAAAGGACCACGACTCAGTAGCTGGCTGAGGCTGGCCCTAAAACGAGTGGAGGCAGGGCTGGATCGCACCCACGTCTCTCTCCAGCAGACCCAGGTCTCCGCAACACTGCCTGTCCACAGTGGAACAAAGTTAGAGTCCAGTGGGGGTACCTCTAAGACCAACAAAGGTTTATCCAAGGGATGAGCTTTCGTGTGCACGCCACACTTCTTCAAATACACTGGAATGGAAGGTTAAGGTTCAAACGTATAGACGAGCTGAGCAGCAAATTAACATGTCACATGATGAAGATGTTTTAAGACAGGGGTGTCAAGCTCATTTGTTATGAGGGCCAGATCTGACGTAAATGAGACCTTGTCGGGCCAGGCCATGTGTGTCATAAAATGTAATGCCAGGTAGCAGAGATATAAACTTTATAAACACAAAGTGGGTTTTTTTTACTTAAAAGCATGCTTAAAACATCAGCACTCTTGCAATATTTTGTTTATTTAACAGTGTCTGATAACAGACACCTCTTGCTCTGAATTATTGCAATCAAAACGTCTGTGCTGTTGCAGTCTTGAGTATGCCGTTCAGGTGTGTATCTGTAAGCTGCAAACCTACGATGACGCACCAGCAGCAGAACTGGAAGAAGCAGCAGAAGACAGCCAGTTCCACTGCGGGCCTGATAGAAGCCCTCGGGGGGGCCTCATCCGGCCCCCAGGCCGCACGTTTGACACCCCTGTTTTAAGATATGCAAAAACAGAACTAAATAACAAGCCACAGTTAGAAGGTCAACAGTTGTAAAGCGATGAATGTCAAAATAAGTCTGAAACTCTCCTTTCACTTAATAGCATTTTTACTTTCTTTTTTTGAGGTGGGTGCAGTGTTACGCCAGCCAAACTTTCCGATATCCCTTGTATTACATTCATGTTAATTTGCTGCTCAGCCCTATAAGTTTGACCAGGGGTCATTTCCTGCAGGAGCGGAACTCCGGCAGTAAGGAGCCCAGGGGGCGGGCACATGCAACACACCCCACCCCCTGCTCCCAGCAGCCCTCAGTTTGGCCACAAGGAGCAAGAAGCAGCCAGGTAAGTTGCCGAGCCCCCCCCCCGCCCGCCTTCAGGGAACAGCCTGTGAAGGCAGATCTGCGTGTCCCCCCCCTTCCCAATAGCTAGCAATCCAAAACAGTCCAGTGGAGCCTGAGCGGTAGGTGTTGCCTTCTGACACACTTCCGGCGATGTCAGGGGGTGTGGCATATGCAAATGAGTTGTGCTAATGAGCTCCTGCACCTCTTTTTCTACGAAATGACCCCTGAGTTTGACCCTTACCTCCCATTCCATTGTATTTGAAAAACTGTGCCTTGCACACGGAAGCTCCTACCTTGAACAAAACTTTGTTGGCCTTAAAGGTGCCCTTGGACTCTAAATCTGTTTTGCCGGGTCTGTCCACAGTGGGGAAGTCCGACCCCAGGGAAGAGGGCAGCTCTTCCGGCAACCTTTCAGCTCCTGCGCCAGCCAGCTTTTGATAGCCCGCCTGCTGTGCCCAACAGGTGAGTCCAAAGGCTGGGAAACTGGATCATCGGGGACAGGGGCGGAGGGGAGGGGGGACAGTCCCCACACACACACAATTCAGCCCAGGATCAGTACAACACAATGCAATGGAAAGGAAAGCAGCAAGCCAAGGTAGGGGACTAAATATAGGGTGGGGGACCGTGGATGTGAGGGGGACCACACAAGGACGGGATTGGGGGGGAGGAAGGGGGGTTGTTCGTACCTGGAGGATCCCAGCAAGCGGAAGGTCCAGCGTTGGTCCTGCAACTCTTGCACTAGCTGGAAAGAGGGGTTGCGGCGTCAGGAGTGGCTACGGCAGGTGTCAGCCAGCCTCCCCCCCCCCGTCCCCAAATTGGAGGTTATGAGAACGCCATGCTGTCCTTTCCCCCAGCCCTAAAGGGAGGTGAATATGCAGGCAGACTGAGATACTCTGGAAGTGGATAGGACCAAACAGGATTTTTAGAAGGGGGAGAGGACACTATCCCCCCCCCCCCCCTGCCCCCCCAGATCCCCATTTTGGCTCCTTCCCATCATGGCAAACAGCTTAGTTCTCTCCCCAGTGACCTGGAAGCTATGGTGGGGGAGGGGCTGTGGCTCAGTGGCAGAGCCTCTGCTTGGCATGCAGAAGGTCCCTGGTTCAATCCCCAGCATCTCCAGTTAAAAAGGACCAGGCAGGAGATGATGGGAGAGACCTCAGCCTGAGACCCTGGAGAGATATGAAGTGGGGCTGTGGCTCAGTGGAAGAGCCTCTGCCTGGCATGCAGAAGGTCCCAGGTTCAATCCCTGGCATCTCCAGTTAAAAGGACCAGGCAGGAGGTGATGGGAAAGACCTCCGCCTGAGACCCTGGAGAGCCATGGAGAGGGGCTGTGGCTCAGTGGTAGAGCGTCTGCTTGGCAGGCAGAAGGCCCCAGGTTCAATCCCCGGCATCTCCAGGTACAAAGGACCAGGCAGCAGGTGATGGGAAAGACCTCCGCCTGAGACCCTGGAGAGCCATGAAGTGGGGCTGTGGCTCAGTGGGAGAGAGTCTCCCTGGCAGGCAGAAGGTCCCAAATTCAATCCCCGGCATCTCAAGTTAAAAGGACCAGGCAGGAGGGGATGGGAAAGAGAGAGAGAGAGAGAGAAGCTCTCACTTAGAGGGCTCCAGGGCCTTGGTTCAACAGGGCAGACAGGACTTCTGTGAGGTCGAGGTGTTCTAGGCTGTGCTGTGTCGTGAACCAGGACCTTAACCCTCACACACAACCCAAGGGGCCCAACAACATCATAAGGACACCAGAAGAGCCCTGCTGGATCAGACCAAGAGTCCATCTGGTCCCACATCCTGTCTCACACAGTGGCCAACCAGTTCACCTGGAGGGCCAACAACAGGGACAGAGAGGCCAAGAGCCCTGCTGGATCAGACCAATAGTCCATCTAGTCCAGCATCCTGTCTCACACAGTGGTTGACCAGTTCCTCTGGAGGGCCAGCAACATGGCAGAGAGGCCGAAGCCTTCATAAGATGAAGAAGAGCCCTGCTGGGTCAGACCAGTGAGGGCCCATCTAGTCCAGCCTCCTGTCTCACACAGTGGCCTCAACCAGTTCCTCTGGAGGGCCAACAACAGGGCAGAGAGGCCAAGGCCTTCCCCTGAGAAGGACACCAGAAGAGCCCTGCTGGGTCAGACCAGTGAGGGTCCATCCAGTCCAGCCTCCTGTCTCACACAGTGGCCTCAACCAGTTCCTCTGGAGGGCCAACAACAGGGCAGAGAGGCCAAGGCCTTCCTCTGAGAAGGACACCAGAAGAGCCCTGCTGGGTCAGACCAGGGAGGGCCCATCTAGTCCAGCATCCCGTCTCACACATGGGCCAACCAGTTCCTCCGGAGGGCCGACAACAGAACATAGAAACTAAGGCCTTCCCCTGATGTTGCCTCTGGGCTCTGGGATTCAGAGGATTTGTGTCTCCGAAGGTGGACGTTCCCCTCTGTCACCATGGCTTGTACCCACTGATCGACTCATCCTCCATAAATCTATCTAATCCCCTTTTAAAGCCATCTATTCCTGTGGCCCTCACTATATCCTCTGGCAGCGAATTCCACATCTCAGTCACTCTCTGTGTAAAGTGGTCTTTCCTTTTGCCTCTCTTGAACCTACTGCCCATTGGCTTTGCTGGATGCTCTCCAGTGGGAGAGGGAGAAAGAGTTATCTTTGTCAGCTCTCTCCTCCCCATGCATAATTTTGTAAACCTCTATATATCTCCCCCCCTCCCTTTGTCGTCTCTTTTCTAAACGGAAAATTCCCAGAGACTCATCAGCC